TGAGCAGGGTACGACCCCTCCAGCTGCTTGGCAAGTTGCCCTGGGAAGTGCCTGCTCCTGGACCCACATGGAAACCTGGTAGCCCCCAGAAGCCCCTGTCCCACCCACCCAGCCCCAGGGTCTCACCACAGCCCTGCTCATCGGCGTGGTCCAGGCAGTCGGCATGGCCGTCACACAGCCAGCTCTCGGGGACGCAGCGGGTGGCAGCGTCGCAGCGCAGTGCACACTCCTGCGTGGGGTTCCAGCAGCCTGTCTCATCCGAGGCATCAGGGCACTGTGGCACCCCATCGCAGCGCTCCCCAGCGCCGACGCACATGGCTCCGCTTGTGCAGTGGAAGGCCCCTGGGGAGACAAGGGGCCTTGCTAAGCCTGCGGCAGGCAGCCAGGGGGCCCAGACCCTCTGCTAGTCCCTCAGTGAACTAGAATGGTCCCACACTACAGCAACAGAGCTTGGTCCCTCCTAGTCATTTCCAGCAGCCTACGTCCTGAGCAAGGTGACTGAGGCACTCTCAGCTCAGTCACTTCTAGGTCACTGCGAGCAGCAGGGCCAGACCTGTTGTCCCCGTTTGACTCATTGCACCTCCAGCCCAGCGCCAAGCTCAGAAGAAACCAGCATGCTACATCACAAGCATCAGAGCCCAGGACACACTCAGACCTTCCCAGGGTCCCAAACCACCAACCCCACCAGGAAGCAGCCAGAAGCCCTTGGCACAGGGAGACCCAGCTGTGCAAGGGACTGGAGAACGGCTCCTACCTGGGGTATTGCAGAGCTGGGCACACCCATCCTCATCAGAGCCATCCACACAGTCCTTCTCCCCATCACACATGTACTCCTGGGCCACGCACTCGGTGCCATCACGGCAGGGTACATGCGTGCGAGGACAGGACAGATGGAGGACTGGCGTCAGGGCGTATGCAGGGCTGGACAAGAGGGGTAGGGTAGGCGACGCTACCCGTGCAGGGCTGGTTGGATGTCGGGTGGTAGTAGTTGGCTGTGGGGCAGTGGTCTTGGTTGGCAAAGACCGAGTGGTGGTGGTGGTAGCTGGCTGCACAGTGGTGGTCTTGGTTGGTGTGGTTCGGGCAGTGGTTGGCACAGGGGTGGTCTTGGTTGATGTGGACTGGCTGGTGGTGGTTGGTGTTGTGGTAGCCTTGCTGGTTGGTGCAGGAGTAGTGGTGAGCTCAGTGGTGGTCTTCCTTGGCATAGGTCTTGTGGTGGAGGTGGTGGGCCAAGTCATAGTGGTACTTGTGGTTGTCCTCATAGTGGTGGTACTTGTTGTTGTCCTCATAGCGGTGGTCACAGGAGGAGTGAGAGGCAGGGCAGACCCCTTGCTTGGTGGCACTGGCAGATGCACAAGCACGGGAACATGAGCCTGGATTTGGGGCTGTGCCCTCCCCACATTCCAAGCACCTCCAAGAGCACCCTACATGGCCAGCAGCAGCCAGGCACCCTGCCCCAGCTCAAAGAAGCACGAGCCACCCAGCCCCATCAGGTACCACACCACTGCCAGGCACAAAACCACTCTTACCAGCCGGCAGCTCCAAGCCCACGAAGGCCACCACTCCCTGCACGCCTGCTGCTGGCATGGACAGCACAAGGGCCAGCGTCCTCCGGTCCCACAGCAGCAAAGCTGTCCCATTTGCTGACATCAGGTATGGCTCAAAGGCGGCCACAAGGCCATGGGACCAGCTGGGTGCCAGAGTGACTGCTTGCCGTTTGGTCAGACTCAGTGCCCGTAGGCCTGCAAGACAGCGGGATGGTAGGACCCTGGGACCCACAGGCACACCTCGTGGACCACCTCGTGCCCCCACAACCCACAGCTATGGCAGGGACCTCATGGCTGTGGCCAGGGGCTCAGCCATGGGACAGTCTGCCCCGTGAACACCCCACTGCCCCAGCATGGACCTGCTGCATGTAGGTCATGGCTAGTCACTCCTGCCAAAGCCTGCCCCCCCTGCCTATAGCGACCGCCTCCGCTCCCTGCTCCAGATACCACTAAGGCTCACCCAGGGCTGATGACCAGAGCAGGCTGAAGGCTCTGCTATCCATGGCTGCAGGCAGATCTCCAGGCCATGTCTCGTTCCAGGCATCACGTGGAGCGCCTCCAGCCAGGCTCAGCTGCTGCAGGGGCTGCCCACGGGCTAGCCAGTACAGAGCGCCCCGCTGCCAGTCCAAGAAAAGGTGCTGGATGCTGCTGCGAGCACGGTGCAGGATGCGTGGGGACATGTCAGATGCCTGGATGACCCCGATGTCCCTCCGGTTACATGCGAGCCAGTACAGGTCCCCCGAGCGGATGTCCACACGGGCAGAGCAGACTTGGCAAGAGTAGGCAGGCAAGTAGTTACAGGGCTGTCCCATGACCCTGCTCCTCCGCCTGGGTGTCCCCCTGCCCCTAAAACCAGGGCACAGCTGCCCAGTGCCTCGGCATGGCCCCAATGTCTGCTGTGCTGTGCACCCAGGAGATCATCAGGCCCCAGGGAGCGCCAAGAAGGGGAGCGTGCCCTCCATCACCCCATAGGGTCTCACCTGGCAGCCCAGTTGCCATGAGCTCTCTCCTGCCAGGGTGCCCCACAACACGCAGCAGCATCCCATGGTCATCTGTCCCGTAGAGCACCGACCTCTGCCAGTCCACATCTTGCAGGTGGAAGGGCTCCTGCCACTCCTGCACCCGTTTGCTATGTGCTCCAGGGCCCACCTGCACCAGGGAGATGGTCTTCCCCGATGCATACACGATGGACAGCTCTGCAGGGTACAAGGCCAGTGTGTGAGTGCAGCCCCAGGGGCACTGGACGGGGTCACCAGCATGAACCAGGGCAGAAACACAACAGCACTGGCATGTGCTGGGTTCCTCATCCGACCAAAGCCACAGCCCCTCATGGTCCCCCTCCGACGCCCACAGGGATGCATCCCACCCCAGACAGCCAAGCTCGCCTTGCAGACCCTGCTCACCTGCGCACTTCCCCGAGGGCAGGAGGAAGAGTCCCTCTGGACACGCACACTTGTAGCCCCGAGGGTGCACAGGGGACAGGAGGCAAAGGTGACTGCACAGGCCCGGAGCACACGCAGCAGTGTCCCCTGGCAGCAAGGGGACATTAAGAGCTCAGGCAGCCATGACGCCCCATACCCCTCACCATCCCCAAGAGCCACAAGCTGTCCCACAGCTAGATATGGGCCAGCTAGCCCAGGCAGCATAGCAGTGTCACATCAGGTAAGAGGGCTCAGCTCCACCCGAAGCCATGGGACTCAGCAGCTTTCCAATGGGTTCAGATGTCCATGACCCAGCGCAGCTGCCCCTAGCGCCCAGGGAGGTGTGGGGCTGCTGCCAGCCCTGCACCGGTGCGGACGCCCGGCAGGTACTCACGGGGAGGCTGCTGCAGTGCATGCAGCACAGTGAAAGCCGAAACAGGGGCACGGAGCAACACTGCGTGCTCCTGCGGAGAGGCTCGGGTGGCTGACACTAGCTCCATGCCGTCGGTCCAGAAGAACCGGCTCTCGAACACAGCCAGGCCCAGTGGCTCCGTGTGGCTCCGCAGGACGGCAGAAAAGGAATGGCGCCCGCTGCCATCCACCCGCAGCGTCTCGATGGACTGGGGACAAGGCAAGGCACGGTGACCATGTGGCTCCCCCACACCCCTGCACTGTCCTCCAGCCGCAGGGCTCATAGTGGTGCCTTCCCCCTCCCAGTCCAGGGATATGTGCCAGACCTGGCCACCGCTCCCTGCTCCCTCCTGTGCCTTGGCTGTAGCCACAGCAGAACCAGGGCCACTGTCCCCACTCCCAGCGTCTGGGGGTGCAGAGCCCGGCTGCCCCACACCCCTACCTCCTTGTACTCGCTGATCCAGTAGAGCCTGCCAGCCACATGGTCCAGGCTCAGCCCCACAGGCTCCTCCATGGACACCACTGTGAGCTCCTGCCGGTTTGAGCCATCCATGCCAGCTGCAGCAATGACTGTCCGGCCCCTCTGCCCACGGTTGACCCAGTACAGGGACCTGGAGGCAGGCACTAAGCACCCACTTCACGACATAACACCTGTGCTGCCACAGCCCCACAGCAGGCATGACATGGTCAGCATCAGCATCGCTCACCCAGGAGCCCAGGGGCCAACCCTGGCTCACTCGCTCCTCACCTTGCAGCTGGATGCACTGTCAGCTGCTCCGGTGCCACGTCCTTCCCCAGCACTGTCACATAGCCCCGGCCATTGCCCAGTCCCGCACAGATGGCTGCAGGGTGGCTGCTGGCCCAGTACAGCTGCCCTGTGAACCAGTCTACAGAGATGCTGTTCACCTCCCCAGCATCTGCAGAGACGGAACTGTTTAAGACACACCACCCCTGCTCCAGGCCGGGAAGCCAAACCCAGGTTGCCCCTTCCCCTATGGGAAAGGCAGGGCTAGTGTGGCAAGATGGCTCCCAGCACCCATCTGAGCCCTGCTACAGCATCCAGCACCCTCACTCCTCCCCACCTGCATAGAGGGGCCACGTCCCCTTCCCTGGGAGGTGAGCATGGAGCTCGCCCTCCTCTGTCAGCCAGTAGTAGGTTTCTCGGAGCAGGTCATACACCAGGGCGCGGGGTTTGGTCTCGGTGGAGAGCAGGGGCCGGTAGGCTTGGGTCCGCACGTCCAGAAGGGCCAGGTCCTGCCCCACGGCCACCAGGATCTGTGTTGCGTTGTCTGCCAGGGTGAAAGGGATATTGGCTGGTGAGCGGGGACGCGGCTAGCTGGGGGCACTGCCCAGCCCCTCAGGCAGCCCCAGCTCCCCTGCTCGTCCTACCTGCCACTTCGCAGATGGTGCCATGCCACAGGGTGTAGCCCTGGAGGCAGGCACAGCTGAAAGCGCCTGGGGTGTTGCTGCACAGCTGGCTGCAGGGGCTGTACTCCAGGGAGCACTCGTCCACATCTGTGGGGTTAGGTGCAGCCAGGAGCCTGCCGCAGGGCTGGCTAGCCACCCCCAAAAAGCACTGCCAATGACCCATAGGCAGGCTTCCTGGATAACAGGACCTGGGCCCCAGCCCCAAAATTCACCAGCTGCCACTGGGATGTGGCCCATACACAGCCTTTCTGGGGACAAGCGTGACACGCAGGCAGGAGCGGGGCTGAGGCAGGTGTTCCCACATGAGCACTGGCTCTGATGAGACCCTGCTCTCAGCAGTCGAGGTCGTGTGTGCCCGAAGTGTGCGCACCCTGACCTCTCCTTACCAGCACAGCTCTGCCCGTCCGCCTGCAGCACCCAGCCGGCCCCACAGGAGCACTGCACTCCCCAGTGCGTGTCAGCGCACGTCTCTGCACAGCCCCCGTTGCGTACAAAGCAGCTTCGACCTGCAG